AGCCCAGCGCCCCCCCCCCCCTCGCCCAATGAGAAAGAAAAGAAAGATAATAATGGAAATACACCGCCCATTAAAAATACACTCTCGACTCCAGAAGCGAAACTAGCAGACCACCTCACGATTAATGCTACTTTGTATATTTTTTTGTTTTCTCTTACCGTCTGTCTGTCTCACGATCCCGTGTTCCCCGCTGTGCTCGCTCGCCCTGCTCACCTGCCCTCAACCAACTACGTAAAAAGTACGTAGTGAAGTGTGTGATTGTCGCCATTAAAACGATCGGCAACATTATGTTGGTCACCTATCTCCTACAGTTCATGTTCGCTGTTATCGGGGTACAGCTGTTTAAGGTAAAGCCAACCACCAAACCACTTAGAACGTTTAAATTAAGCCGACTCTTCGGGAGAACTCTTCTCCTTCTTCTTCTTCTGCTTCTTCTTCTACTTCTGCTTCTTCTTCTGCTTCTACTTCTTCTGCTTCTTCTACAACTTCTACTTCTGCTGCTACTACTACTTCTTCGTTTTCTTCTTCTTCTTCTGCTTCTTCTTCTACTTCTTCTTCAACTTGTACTTCTGCTGCTACTACTACTGCTTCGACTTCTGCTTCTTCTTCTACTTCTTCTTCTACTTATGCTTCTTCTTCTTCTTCTGCTTCTTCTTCTTCTACTTCTGCTTCTTCGTTTTCTTTCTCTGCTTCTTCTTCAACTTCTACTTCTGCTGCTACTACTACTTCTTCGTCTTCTTCTTCTTCTATTTCTATACTTCCGTACCTCTCTCTTTCTTCATCTCTCTCTTCTCTCTCTCTCTCTCTCTCTCTCTCTATTTTGTTTTCGTCTGTTCTATGTTCATTGGTTTATCTGTCCTACTTCTCCGTTGTTTTTCTTCTCCGTCTCTTCTGACTTCCTTCCCAGTTTTTCTGTTCTTTCGTCGTCGTTGCTCTTCGTCGTCGACGTCAGGCCGACGGTCCCGCGTTACAAACCGGAAGCTTCGTATCTTGCGTCGAGCCGCGCGACCCGGAAATCTCGATTTCCCTCGCGCGACACAGGGTGCCGGCGAGATCCTTCTTCATGGCGGAAGTAGTTTTTGCTTCAGCATGCAGGGCCGAAAACAGAGTCGCGGAACGAATTCGCCACCCCGTGTCGCGCGAATCGCTGCACGCTGACACCGATCGCAACCTCCGCCACCCCAGCCACCCTCTCACCTTCCAACCTTCTAGCTAGACTCTCTCTCTCTCTCTCTCTCTCTCTCTCTCTCTCTCTCTCTCTCTCTCTCTCTCTCTCTTTTCGATCCCTTGGCTCCGCGGAGGAGAATATCGACGATTTTTGGCGGCAAAACTTTCAACGACCAGCGAGGCTTCGTCTTCAATCGCGGTCTCGATCGGCGACACTGGTCTGCAAAATTTCACTATTTAAATATAAATAAAACAAATTGTAAAATTTAACTTCAGACATTTTTCCAGCTTCGATCTGTCGGACGCGATGATTTTTTTTTATTTTAAAGGGACCTTCGAACACGCGAAAGTAAAATGCTCATTAATAATAATAAAAAATATTATAATAATAATAAAATAATAATAATAGAAAATATTCATTTTTGCACTCCATGGTTAACCCTTTGCACTCGAAGCTATTTCAACGGTAAATCTAATATAATTGTTCTGACTTATATACAGTATTTTTATTTAAGCTTGATAGAGTGCATTTTATGCATACAAAATCGATTCTCGCGACTCGCGCAACGGTTACGCTCTTAACAATATTTTTCGGTCTAAACTTTGCTAATTTAAACATTATTTTTAGAACGTGACATCGTAAATTTTAACGGTGCCTTAGAGTCACCGCTCGAGTGCAAAGGGTTAAAATTCACAGCGAACTATCAGTTGTAAAAAGAAGTACACGGAATTTGTTTTTATAGTAACCTAAAAGTGTCAACTACCAAAGCTGAAGACGAAAATATTAATATAAATATTAATATAACCTTAACGGAAGAACGACGATGCAAACATAACGCTATCTATTGACATAACCTCGACATAACCTCTGACATAACCTTCGAACACGTTCAAAGAATATTTTTGTGGCTAAAGCAGTAATTATCTGGGTTATTATCAAAGCTGCTTTGACAATTAGGGATCCCAAGTGAAATAGAATTATTCCAGGCGATAGAGCGAACGTTCTCCCTCCGAAAATCGTAGACAAGGATGGGAACTTGGATTTTATTTTCAATTAACAGAATGAAATAGTTTTAAAACTCGCTAGCTGCTACGCAACTATTTATTATTTACATCAACCGACAACGTAATTGTCTTCCTAATTTTTCCTTTTTATGGAGGAAAAAACGTCCGGTTTGTCGCCTAACCTAATTAGATTTCACTTTGGCGCCCTAACCCTCAAAGTAAAACCAATATCCCAGAAAATTACCGCCTTTCGAGCATCTCTCGTTCTTTATACGCTGCTAAAACAAGCATACGGTTCGATTTAGCAAAATCTATAGGCTCGATCTACGTGAAAATCATCTTCCCCGTGGTCGAAGCTAGACAAATCTCGATATCGAAAATTTGCTTCCATGGAAACTGTCTAAAAAAATAAAATTATTACATTCGATTCGAATGTATTTCGTGGGAAAATTCGCGTCGACTAGTGTAACGATGACGAAGCGGCCGGCGGAAGACGAAAACAAAATCGGAGATGAAAAGTGGAGAATGCACTTGCGAATGTCGCGCGGAGGACGGGCGATATTTTCCTTCGCGGAAGCCTTTTGCGCCGTCGGTAACACCCTCGAGCACGGTCACGCGCTGTACAAAGATCCGAGAACTGTTCACCAAGAGAATCAGCCGGCGCTGCAATATAACGACTTGTCCGAGAGTAAACACCACGCAATACACGCGCATAGACACGGATACAGACACAGGCTTGTGCCAAATGAGACGTGAGCGCTTTACGTAGACGTCGAACTCTCTCTCCGGATAGAGAGAACCGCTTCGCGCAGAGAGAGGCATGCGAGTCGTCGATGTGTTTGTGCGCTACGCCGGAGAACAAAGCTTTGATCGTAGTGCATGGTCGTTGTGTCGTTAACGCGTGCACCGTAACCACGAGTCACCCATCGCCGATGCCGGCACGGCGCACGGTGGGCTGGATCGAGAAATTCAGTGACATTCTGTTATAATTTTCGAACCATCAAAGATATTGCAATGAAATTTTCACCAAAAATATTTAAAAAGTAGTTATTTTCAACTATAGATAATTAAATTCTTTTTTGCATTTGTTAAACAATAATTTTTAATTAATTTCCATTGACATTTTTTGTGAAAAAAATTGTTTAAATATAATGTCGCAAACTATTTGTAACATTGCAATAGTAACGTACCTGGAATTACTAGCGGGTCCTCGTAACCAGTGTGGGTGCAATAAAGTATGCGTCCCAAAAAAAGGTCTCTGTATACATTAAACCCTGAAGCTGCAGATTTATTGAAACGATAACAAAATGGTAAGATTAATTAACGTACTCTACATTTTATCAAAAGTTCGAACTGTTGAAATTTATCAACTACGTACAATGCGTATAGAAAATATATATAATATTAATTATATATATTACAATTTATGATTATTTTTATTAATATTTCCACTTTCGAGGGTAATGGACATTTAACAAGCAATAAAAATTGACTGGACATCGATACGAGAAAATTTGGTTTTTGTCAAAAAGTCACTAAAATCTTCGATCCGGCCCACTGTGCGGCAATTCGACCGACCATTCGATCTGTCCCTCTATCCGATCCTCCTCGAATTAAATTTTGGGAAGCTTCGAGCCGACTCGAAGATCTATCAGAGCCGTGGCTATTTAACTCTTTGCACTTGAGACTGTTTTAATTCCAAAATGAGGGCATTTGTTTCGACCTACAGTATTTCTATTTGATACGATTGTTTTTATTTGATACGTATGAAATTGAACGCGTACGCTTACAGAAAACTTCTCAAATTATTTGACAATTTATCCGGATACATACTAATTTAATAATGTGCTAATTTGTTTGAAAATAGTGTAGCAATCTAGCGTCGCCTCAGTGTCGCCACTCAGTGCAATGGGTTAACACGTTCTAAAACGCGAATCTGTTCGGTTGGCAAGAAAGTATTTTCGGTATTTCGATGCGAAATAAAACTGAAATTTTTCTTACGCAAGAAATGAACTTTAATCTGTCGAATATTTCCCATTCTGTTCGACGCGACCTCTTTTGCCGTCTTTCTGGTAACTTCACGATTCCGCGCGATCTTCGGAACGAAATTTTTTGAGCCAATTTTGACACGCGCGTTCTGTTATGCGATCGACGGCATAAATTTCGCGTATCTCTTTGCGAGCCTCGGCCGCTTTCTTGCATTTATGGAAATAAAAAAAATAAAATGTGTCGAATTCATTTTTGCACTCCACGTTAAAATTCTCAGCAAACTGTCAGTTGTAAAGAAAACTACACGGAATTTGTTTCAATAATAACCTAGAAGTGTCAACTACCAAAGCTGAAGACAAGAAAATTATAACTTCAACAAAAGAATGACGGTGCAAGCATAACGCTATCTATTGGTGCAAACCGAAATTACTTTTTTGCCAACACTATAGTACGCGTTTCATTCGTTCGTAAGCTTGAAATAATCGTTTCCGTATACAACACAATATATACATATTTTTTCGAACATCGTTAACACTAGATTTACGGAGCACAAAAAACAGCCGTTTCATATTAATTACATAAAAGTAACAATAAGATATTTATTAGTAAGCAATTATATTAGCAAGTAACGTTATTATTTAATGTTATAATATATACAAGGTGTCCCAAAAATGTCTCGCAATCCGAAAGTGGCGGGTTCCTCAGGTCATTTGAAGCAACTTTTTCCTTTACAAAAATTTTCTCCGAGGCACCGTTAACGAGTTATTAACGAAAAACAGTGACCAATGAGAGGCGAGCTCGACTGGCGCGAGGCGACCGAGCCAATGAGCGGAACTGGGCTTCGCGCGCCGGTTGGCTGGGCCGCCACGCGTCAGCCGTACTCGATTCTTATTGGTCACTGTTTTTCGTTAATAACTCGTTAACGGTGCCTCGGAGAAAATTTTTGTAAAGGAAGAAGCTGCTTCAAATGATCCGAGGAACCCGACATTTCCGGATTGCAAGACATTTTTGGGACACCCTGTATATCTATCTATCTATCTATCTATCTATAGTAAAGACATATAAGATATATAGTAAAATTATTGTGAACCTTGTACGTTGTTCACTAATTTTTTAATTTACGATCATTCGTATTGTAAAGATACATTTATCAGTTATTCATTCAATTTATATGTTACTTACTATT